AGATCTGACAGGGACGGAATCTCGTAACAAACCGCCAGTACAGAGTGTAACATCCCTGACTGACATTGTCTCAAACTAAAAATAGCCTGCAATTGAAAATGTGCACAGATGCAGTAGAGTCATTCAGAAACTACCATTAGCATTGCTAGCTTGATGGTCATTTATGGTCATTTTGAATCTAAATACTGTGAATTAACAGTAAATATAGATTCCAGACTTCTGTCATTTTCTTCTAGTTGGTAAGTTAACAGTTAACAGTAAAGCATCTGGTAACTTTTGTAACTGGTGTTATTTAGCGGCTGTAGCTGCTTTTGAAGATGCAGGCTATCATCGCTAATGCTATCACCTTTATTTTAGAGCAGGCATGTCAAACTGGGGACCTTCCAGGCCAAAGTGCTGCAGAGATTAGACTTCACTCTCATCTAACACTCTGAATTCAGTTCATGAAGGCCTTGCTAATTAGCCGATGAGCTGAATCAGGTGTGTTTAATGAGGCAGTGTGCTGAAGTCTGCGGTGTTTTGGCCCGCAAGGACTGGAGCCTGACACGTTTTAGAGGATTAACGCAAGCTAGAAAATAGATTCACATTCAAAGGTTTGGAATCAAAGTTTTTAGTAAAATTTAAAGGAAATAAATGTATAATATGCTAGTTCTGAGCACCTTCACAGGTTTAAAATGAGTAGAAAACTGAGAATCTGGAAAGATGTAGAAGGCCAGAGTTAGATTTCTCTAGAATGATGAACGGAATTGTAGATTTATGAATCTGTATAATAGCAATAATGAAGTTACAAACTAAAAAGTGGTGAAACGTCTTGTGTAAAAAAACATTTATTAATACCTTTTGGTGTCTAGTTGTTTAAATTTAAATTTAAAGATATTATTTCATATAAAATAATACAGCTCCCAAACTTTTGAACGGTACTTTCTCAGTAGTGCATTTTTTTGGATTATCACCATTAGATTATCTAATCACCATTAGATTATCACCACCTGTGCTTTCTGTGTCAGAAACCAGAATCAGATTTCTTAGTGCATGTAAACTCTTACTCTGATTTCTTTTGGATTTCTCAGTCTGCTTATGTGCGAATCAGACAGTACCGGAAATAAACAAGCAGTGTTACCATAAGACGCAGCAAAACACTTTTGGAGCGAGGCTGAAACCAACGACATGCTTGACAAAATGAAGGATATTAATATTTCTCAGTATTGCATTTTTTTGGATTATCATCATTAGATAATCTAATCACCATTAGATTATCACCACCTGTGCTTTCTGTGTCAGAAACTGCTGGAACATAGGATTGTTCACAAAATTACAACATGTGGACACCAGGCCTGGGAAAACACAGGTCTGTTTCCTAGACATTTCAGTAAGCAAATAAAGGGCGCTGGGAGCACAGGGATGACTCAGTGGAGGCAGGCTGAGCAAACGCGCAAGCTTATTGAAATGCTTGTATAGGCCAAACCACACATAACTGCCTTCAGGTTTGAGAATTTAAAAACTGAAAATGGACACAGTATAATCTCCACATTTAACACATTTTGAATAAATATATGACTGAACATCAAGGAAAGGCTTGTTTGTTACCAGCTATCTATTAGCGTTATCTGACCAGAGTAATCCGTAGCTAGCCACCCAGCCATTTTGCAGACTTTGGCATTGGTAGTAATCATCTTGACACATTACCTGACGTGTAAAAATGGCATAAAATATGATAAAAACCAATAGGCCAAAAATTTGCCTACTGTCAACAGTATTAGCTGACCTAATCATTCAGTGGACATTAATTATGATATTAATTAACAAGCCAGTTAGCAACTAATTAACAATTTCCCTACTAGACTACAATTGTAAAAATGTATGATTCTCATCTTAATATTTCATTTGATTGTTGAGATTTTGGAGGTTAAAATGATCTTTATTCTACAGAGCTCAGATTATGATGAGCTCTCAAATAGAACACTTTCATTTCCCAAAAATAGAACACTTTCATTTCCCAAAAACAGAACACTTTCATTTCCCAAAAATAGAACACTTTCATTTCCCAAAAACAGAACACTTTCACTTTCCAAACTGCAACCCATAGAGTTTACAAAATACTTGCACGCAAAGCACAACAACCCACCTGCCCCACCCCCACTTTAGTTTTAATCAGTGATTGACAGTGGTTTTGTATTTCCATTGGTCAATTTTTGTACAGATAATTGATATAAATGAACAGGAAGATGGCATTTAAAATGGTGAAAAAAAACTACAAGGCCCAAAATACTTGAAAGAACTTGATTTTAGCTCACTGACTTGGAACTTGCTCGGTACTTAAAGCAGAAAGTCAAACTTGCACATACGTGTTGCGCAAACGTGATGACTTTTGACATCTTTTGATTTTTTCTATAAGATCATTTGATCTCAATAATATTTAGAATACTTTGAACCTCCAGAAACCTGCCCCCTAAAAAGTTTCTGATTATTACTCACTGACTGAAAAAAGCTTGTCATGGACTTCTGAGAAAAGGGAGTGGGCACAAACGGGCCAGCAGTTTACCTGCTTTGGAATCTTGCAGTTCATTTCAGTAATTTCAGAAAGTGATAAACTAGTAATTATGTTTAAAAAAGTAATTATCTGAATTTTAAAGCCGGTCAATATTGAAAAACAAAGTAAAATCTAGTCTTTAGTGTGTGTTTGTCTTCAGTGTTTGTCTGTCTCATTATTAGGTCACTTTTACCTATACCCCACTGTAACCACCATGCTTCTACAAATGTATCCCCACTATAACAAACAGAATGATCAGTAGAATTAACTGATCATCCAAACGATGTGTAATAACCTTAATGTATTGATACACGAAAATAATCTATACCAGCTTATCATACATATCAGTGTATGTATGTATATATACAATCACATTCATGTGGCTGTTGGTCCTTTTTTTGTTCCCTGACTGATCAGCACACAGTTTAACTACAACTAACTACTGGTAAAAGACTACACATAGCAAAACTAAATAAGTGAAAAAGTGGCAGAAAAGAACAAATAATTACATTTAGCTTGTGATTAAGTCAATGTATGATCATTTGGAAACACTAAGTGCGTTTACACACTCAATAATGCGATCATAATCAGATTTCTGCAGTTATCTGATTATTCAAATGGTCATGTAAACAGCATACTCCAAATTCTTCGATCGGAGTAAGGTCTAGAAATCCGATTAAGAAATAAAATCCGATAGAGAGCTGGATTTTAGCTCTAATCAGATTTCTCAGGGAATGTAAACTCTTATTTTGATTTTTTTTTGGATTTCTCAGTCTGCGCATGTGCGAATCAGACAGTACTGGAAATAAACAAGCAGCATTACCGTGAGACGCAGCAAACCAATGACATACTTGACAAAATGAAGGATTTAAATATTCTTCATCTTCTAGATGATGTACGTTCATATTTTCAGTTAAAGTGGCACAAAGTTTTATATTACGTTTACGTCACGTCTTCTTCTGTGAGTTTATTGGCTGGTTGCAAAGCAGAAATCTAATTACTGCCCGACTCATGTAGTTTCCCATTATCTGATTACTAAGTGCATGTAAACGTGTTGATCGGATTACTGACAAAATGTGATTTTCTGCAGTTATCGGATTATTAAGTGCATGTGAACGTATGTAAATGATACAATATTAAAGAGGCCTAGATTTGAGATAAGAATGTTACTAACAAAGCATTTCCATTCATGAGTGCTGCTTCTGGGCTGGATGGAGGTCAGTGAGGTGTGTAGTAAATCTGATCCTGGATCTGTCGTCCTATTTTAAGAAGCTTCGCGAATACCACCCCAGTTTGAACTATCTAAGTGTTAATGTAATGCTGCTGATTCCACGGTGTATGAAGCACTCTTCAGTCACTGGTTGAAATGCTTAAATACGTCATTAGAGGAGAGCAAGCAATGACTCATACTGCATCATCATGGACACACTCTTCCATCAGCTTGAATGGTCTCTTTTTTTTCTTTTTCTTTTTCAAATGAGAGGGTAATGCATTCAGACTTTTCACCAAGGTTTCATCATGTTTCCTTTATCAAAAACACTGTTTTACATGAAACTTAAACACCTTTTTTTATTTGAACACCCCCCTTGGATTGTGAGGAGCCATAAATTAAGAATAGAAAGGATAGAAACGGCGAGGTCCTGGAAGGCCGTGTTTTACTTATGCTTGAGTTCCTAAGTGAAACGTTTGTTTCACTGTTTCTATATAACTGTATATAACTTTATAGTGAAAGTGACTGACCTTTCAACACCTTTTACCTAACATGATCAACTACATTTCACAGACAGAATCATTAACATCAATTTTGCTCTTTGCTTAAATGCTTTGATTGCTTTAGAATATGATTCTCTAGTTCCAGTCCTGGCTATCCAGAACACTGCAGAATCACGTTTTTTTTTCCCCTGCTCTAACACACCAGATCTAGCTTATCAGCTGATTATCAAGCCCTTCATTAGCCAAACGAGGTGTGAACAAGCAGAGAAAATGATTCACAGTACATCTCTGTGGTACTCCAGGACTGAAACTTCAGAATCTGATTGAACACAACACAGAAACGGCCAGACTCCTTCATTTCATCCAGGAGAGGGTGCCAGATCACTTGCTAGACTCTCACAGCCTGAGCAATGGATTTTTCAGTGCTAAACAAGTCAACTTATTCGGGTACAATTTTCTCTTGAAAGCATACAGATTTAGAACTTTGTATTTTTGAACGACTTAATTCAACAATGAATACAAAAACATCAAAGGTCCAAAGGAAGAGGTCCTTTGGGTTGATCAGTGTAGTAAGTGGGTGCCACGCACTGGCTGTTTGCCCTAGTAGTTACTTGTTTCAGCAGCTCATCAGCTCTTTGACACTATGGAGGTCTCTCTAATTGTAAAAAACACACAGAGGTTGGCAGCTGTGCACTGATGAGGGGTACTGTTAAACATACTATACCAGTCAAAAGTTCGAACATGCCAATCAAGTTAGTTTTTTTTTTTTTTTAACCAATTTCCACATTTAGTAGTGAATAATAATACAAATTTTGCAGGTTTCAAAAAGACTGAACCAAACATCAGAATCTAATAGTTTAGATTCTTCAAAATAGCCCGCCTTTGCCTTGTTATAGCTTTGGACCTTTGGTATTCTCTCAAGCAGCTTAATGAGGAGCCACCTAGGGTGCACTGGGGGGTGACTACTTGCTGTTGAGTATCTGCTTGTTTTAATCAATTTGGAAATAAATTCATACATAGGCATCACTATTATGTATAGGTTTCTATGACATCATCTTTAAGATCGTCCAAACCTTTGACTGGTACTGAAGAGAGTGAGTGACAGAGGGAGAGAGAGAGAGAGAGAGAGAGAGAGAGAGAGAGAGAGAGAGAGAGTGAGAGAGAGAACAGCAGTGTTCTATGCAGATGGCTTATAAAAAGTAGCACCCTCCACTTTGTGCAAATTTATCAGCTGGACGAGAGACAAGTGTGGGTCTCGACTTACATGGTAGCCTTGATTGGAATAGGCCTATCTGAAACAAAATGTACCCTGCGTTTAGCATTAGCATTAAATAGTTCTGCTTAACGAGTAACGCCCAAAGTACTTTGGTTACTGGAAAAAGGGACTAGACAATCTGAAAGTATGTTACCGGGCTGGGCTTACATGGCTTCAAACGCAATGTCAGCCAGTTCAGGGCCATCCACAAAAATATCAGATAGTGTTAAAATAATACTCGAATGGCTAGTCTCCAATTCACACAGCATTACAAGAAAACCTAGCTTGATTTTCACAGTTTCAATCTGATTTTTTCAAACATAAATCGAAAGCTGCACATTCCCCTTCAAGTGTTACTGGTATTTCATGGCTCTTGTAGCTTAAAATGGACTCTAGACTTGATGCTCAGTGATAAGCCAAAACAGTATGGCGTACAAGCATCCTTCTTTTCTCCTGAAAAGTTGCTGTCCAAATGTCAGTTCACATCTGCATTGATCGGCATGTAATAACTATCATGGTTTCTGATTATTACTTTGTAAGCCCTTAAGTAGCATACATTTTTTGCTCAATCAATCTCAACCAAAGCCTATATTGAAACGAAATTCCAAATTTAGCAATTACACAAAATAACATTCCAATAATCAAATGTTACAAATCATCATTAAATCATGACAGTGATTTACCTTGTTATTCCATATAGAAGACAAAAGGTAACAAAGAAAGTGCTACCTACTCCCCATAGTATTTAAGTGCCTCTCTGATTTAAATAAATAGTCAATATTCAATCTCACCTCACATTTATTCATAAATGACAAAACCAAAGGGTGTTTCAACATTTTTTTTAAATTAAACATTTCCATGTTTAAGAAATGTGTTTTCTTTACTGCAGATATCTGAGCTCTAAGAAATCACAAGGAATACTATGGGGAAGAGAGTAACTATGTTTGGGCTTATGTCATTACTTAATATTTAATATAACAAAGATAAAATATGACCAAATGAACACAATCGCACAGGGCATAAGACACATATTTCAGATAACACTCATACATTCTTCTCTTTGAATATATAAGCCCATATATATCATATACATATAAAATTGAATGTATTCACTGAAAATATTCTTCTTTATCAAATTTAGATGGCGGCAGTATTATCTCAAGGCCACACTTGTATTATGAAAGGTTGTAGCAGGGTTAAAGGTGCATTATGTTGGATTTTTACATTACACTTAAGCTAAAACATCATCATAAATTGTCAAAAAAATGAACTTAGAGTGACAGATGTTTGTTAGCTCCTGTTTTACTTCCTACCATAGTTCTCCCCCTGACCATTTCATTAGGAAATCAACGCTACAACGTGTGTGCATTGTTATAAATATCATGGACTATCTAATTACATGTTAAACCATGTCAGAACCAGTTCAAACATACACATTCAGAAATATTAGCTCATACTATCCACAACAATGGCTGTCTCTGAAAAGCAATGGATTGCTTAGAAGTTTGTTCCTACATAGTGCACCTTTAAAAGGAGATTGTCTCTTGACTCTTTCACGCTCTGACATGTACATTTACATGCCTAGTCTAGATGTGGTATGTAATATATGAAGTTACCAGTATGGCATTATTTTCTGACCAACAATACTGTGAGTATATATTATATATTGTAAACCCTGGACACTGGGAAGCATTGGCATTAAAAGGTCTACAGGCTTTTTTGCTCCCAATACATAGCTGTGAAATGCAAATATCCTTAATTCTCTTCTTTATATTATGGCATCCAGTCCAAGTGTATTTTGTTCCACATACTTACATGTTTAGAATTCCACTGAATTTATGTGTCATGCTGGTTGAAAATGGCTATTCTGTCTGTTCCGTTTTAAATCGTAATACTCTCTAGTGCTCATGGCCCATTGATCACAGATAACTTTCAAACTGTACCTATGGACCACAAAACAGCACAATAGGTCTACAGTCTGCACACAAAATTCAGATTAAATAGGCCTTAAGATTTGGGAATGTGCTTGGATGTTATCTTAGCATTAAGTTAAATCAGGTTTGGTGACTTGGGTGGATATTCGGTCGTGGAGAGGTTGAGAATTGTAAGGGACATTTGTAAAGTGATCAAAAAGTGGGGCGGTCTGAAGATAAGGACATTTTTAAGCTGAGGTCTCAGTAGAACATTTGGAAGTGGCCTGCAGGTAAAACTGTAAATACAATTTGGCAAGGACTTTGTTGAACAGTATTCTATGGAATTTATCATGCTCCTGAGCTCTCCAACAGCTGTTTGAGTGCACGCTCTATGTTCATCCTGTGGCCCACCCGTGTCACTCCCAGTTCCGCCAAGTCGTCCTTTGTGAGGGCGGGCAGATGGGCGCCTTCAATCTCATGCTCCAAGAAGCGGGCTCGATGCTCCCCTAGTCCCACGCTTTCTAACCACTCGCCCACATCATACTTACTCCACAGTGCCAGGGGGCGCTGTCTGAAGGGCCGCAGGGCCAGAAGTGGGGCACCCAGTACCGGGGAGGGGCAAGGGGAGGCGCAGGGCGACGGGGAAGGTGAGCGGCTGCGGGCACGGGCACTGGCACTCCGCATGACAAAGCGCACCTCCTTGGGCTCCTGCGGCAGGCTCAGGCTGGACGACTTGAGGATGGTGTGGTGGTGGTGGTGATGGTGGGGGCCAAAAGTGCGCACAGGCCCTAGAGGCTCACTCCGCTCCGGGGTGGCTCCAGGACTGGGCGTCCTGCGGGTCACTGGATAGCGGCTGCCGGGACGGATGGTGAAAGTAGTGCCGTAGTTCCTCTGAGAGATGGTGTGGAGCTCCCCAAGGCTGCTGAAGAGCCTGAGAGGCATAATGGGGTGATGAGAGGAGGCATTTTAAGTTAGATCGCCAAACCAAAATATTCAAGGCAGTTACAGTAAAGCAAGTAGAAAGACTAAAATTAGATGTGAGAACCTTTTGTGCAGAGGGCGTACAGTTAGTAATCTAACAGTTAATAAACAGTTTCGTCTAAATTTTTAATTAAAACCCACAACGTAAACAGATCAGGCAGAAGTTGAAACATACCTCAGCTCGAGATTTAGTGAAATACTGCACTTAGAAGTGCAAGAGATCAGCTTTACTGCATTTGGAAATGCAGTATGCTTAGGTAGAAAGATCTACTGGCGCATGCTGTAGGTATACAGTTTAAATGTATTGCTTTGAGAGCTTATGTTAATTAGTCTAGTTATAGTTTTGATATACTGCAGTAAGAGCGGCGCTTAACTATTTCAGCTTCAGATAATGCTGTGTTAGGGGAGCATTTTAGTAAAGTAGAAAGTTAGTTGGACGAAGAGTTGTTTTTACCCACAGAGCTAAAAACCTACGATTTACTCTCTTCTCCATTCTCCTCACATCTGCAGGAACATATAGAGACACACACAGGTGTGTTATGCAATTAAACGAGATGTGTGAACAAAATGCGTGTGATGGAGTTCAACAGAGTAATAGCTGTGTACAGTGGTGATGTGCATTACTTAAAAGTGTAGAAAGTTTTGCTGTGCTACATGCAAGAGTGACGTCTTTTCAGGCCAAATGTGTGCAGGCATTTGTGTGACTCACAGGAATGTCTTACCTGGCGCCGCCCACGGGTGATCTCCGGCCAGGGTCGAGCGGTGCTCCCATTGGTGGCTCCTCCCCTAGAGAATGTGTGTCTTTACTCAGTAACTCTGCCCCCATTGCAGCAGGCCTACTATCATCACCTATGCCAACCTGAGCCCTGGGCTCCTCACCCCAGAGTTTGGAGCGTCTTTGGAACAGGTAGCGTGGGCGGGCAGGGCCTGTGCTGGGCGGGTGTGGAAGCAGCTCGCTATCTGACGACTGTTTAAGCAGTGGGTCCCTGAGATGGGCGGGGCGGCCACGCCCCACCCCACAACGTGGCTTGCTGGCATGAGCTGAGTCTGTGCTCTCCGAGGACAAAGTGGACATGCTGGAGACTGTAGAAACAGTACTCGTAGTCTCCATGTGGGGGTCCTCAACACCGGAGTCTGCTGTGGAATCACTCACTTTGCCAGAAGATGTCTTTGCTATGGAAGGCCGCGACGCCCCTGGAGAAATGCTGAGAGTGGCTTTGGGTGGTTCCTTTATTAGAAGGCCATTGGCGAAGGGTTGAGGCGGAGGGACAATGCCAATCTTGCGGAGCTCCTCTCTGGTTTCTTCGTCACTGGATGACAGCAGTGCTGGAGGCAAGGTAACTGTGTAGGGCTCGGCTTCTTCCTCTGAGCTCATGGTCATGCTCCGTCCCGCCAGGTTTGAGAGGGTTGGGGCGGGTGAAGGCATGGAAGGTGGAACTGCAGGTTGGCTGTGCTCTGTGTCCATAAGCGCTGGCTGGACGATCTGCACGGTTGGTGGCACCAATGTCTCCTCCAAACTTCTCCCAGATCCCGGGCTGCCACTTGTAACCTGACTAGCCGTTTCTGTGGTAATACTGACAGGCTCCTCCCTCCAGGTGTCGGAAGATGGGGCCTCAAGAGCAGCTGGGGGTGTGACACCTCCTTCTGTCTCTGGTCTCTCGACTGCTCTGCCCTGAGTGGGTGATGGCGAAGGAGTGGGCGTGGGCGTGGGGGTGGTCCGGCCACTGAGGGCACGTTCTCGTGCAGCCAGTGCAAGTGCTAAGGGAGAGGAGGGGTCCAGAGGCCTTCCTGTGAGAGGATGGATAAAGGTGGAGCCCCCTGGTGGTGGTCCAGGGGACAGCATGGGTGCCGGTGGTGGCAGCTCTGCTAGCTCATCCACCGAGTGCGACTGGGACAGCAAGGGGGTGGTCTGAGGTTCTGTGGCACCCCCCTCCACAGAGAGGAACACACTGGGCCTGCGACGTGCCCCTGGGGGTGTGATCCTGGCCCTCTCAGAGAGCACTTGCTGCTGGAACTGCTCAGCTCGGCTGCTGTGGGGGATTCGTGCTCCTCCTAGAGGAGAGGGATCTCTTGCAGCCTGGGCACCCTCCTCCACTTGGCCTTGTTTGACCAATGGACTCTTTCTGCGTTGAGGCTTTGCAGGGGTATAGACTGCACTCAAGCGGCCCACGTTGGCATATGGATTCTCCACAGGCTGGCCACGCCTACGACCACGCTCAGGAGGAGCAGCCCCAGAGGTAGGTGTCGCTGGCCGGGGAATGGGGGCAGGCTCTACTGGCAGGTGGGCAGTGTCCTGAAGGATAATCATAGAGCGAGCTTTACGCTGGCGGTCTGTTGTGACAGGACCATGGAGCTTGGGTTCTGCCCCAGGCCGGAAGCTCGAGCGGGTCTGATTGGCTGTGCGTGTTGGGGGTGGAGGTGGTAAGAAAGATGGGGGAGGACCCGAATCTAAAAAGTATGGCGTCGGAGGGGGAGGAGGTGCGGTTTGTGGAGGGGGCGGGATACTGTCTTGTCGGAAGCTGTCGGTCATTGAAGAGCTTCTTGGGAATCGATGCTCTCCAATTAAAGCAGATATTCTCTCATCTTCTGGTGCACCTGAACAAAATGAAATGAATTTATTAGATATGTAGACACTGTATGTGAAAAGACGTGGGCCAAACATATACAGACATACTTAGAGATGAAACGATATTAAAATTTCATATTAAAATTTCATTTGTCTTCACCTGTGGAGCTGCTTCTCTAAAAGCATTTAAAACTAAAACATAACTTAAAATTAACATGCATCTGAGCTGCGGCAGAAACACTCCTAAAGTTTAATCTCTGAAACTCTGCTTTTCCTAAAAGCAGCACACAGCATTTACTCGCGTGAGGTCCCGTCTCAAAGCACACTATCTTCCCTATGTAGTGCACTTCGTGGATCATGAAATAGCAAATCCCTCACCCAAAGAGTGCATGAAATGTTCGACTAAGTCATCTATAATCAACATTAACAACAGGTTACAAATCCCCTATTTAAAACTCAACTGCTTGTTAATGATGATCGTGTTTGTTTGAAAAGTAGCGCACTATGTAGGGGACATTGAGTAATTTGAGACAGTGTTATTCTCTTCTAAGAAAGTAAACACTGCAAGCGAAACAAGAAAGGGGAGCTGTGCAGATTGAACTTTTGCAGCGTCTCGTTCCAGAGCTTGTGTGACTTAACTCAGAGCTCATTTTGGAGACTCTGCTCCACAGAAATACGTGTTAAAAGCTTTAGTTTCGATTCACAGTTGATTCACCAATTGGTTTTTTTTGTTTTTTTTACGCTAAAAGCTTCATTTTATATTATTAACGAACCATAAGCATAAGTTAAACCACACAGACCATCTTCTATTTCAAAGTCCCCACAGACTTCTACGTTAAAGTTAACCTTGCATTCTCTAAAAAGTAGCGGGTGGTGGTTGTGAAGATGACACGTAAGGTTTGATGCGTTGCCCCCTTTTGCCACTATTTTCTTTCGGCCTGTTCTGCAGACAGGGTGGTCATCTTCAGTTAACTTTCCTTCTGCATCCTTATAAAACCCAAAACATGACCAAACGTCAGACTTGGTCTTCTTAGAAGGCTGAAATATCTCCGAATCTCTGTCACTACATTCCGCCATGTTCTCCCTTCTCTCCCTCTCCCTCTCACTCTTTCCCCCCGCCCCCTTCCCCTCTACACACACACACACACACACACACACACACACACACAGAGCTGCATCTGAGAGGATGATTCTGCCTTTGTTTGACTCTGTACAGCGAGTTTTTCACACCGCGGTAATCGACCGCGATTTTAACGATACTTTAAAGTTCAAACGGTACTACTAACCGTCAATAATTTTACCGCGGTTTACCGTGAAACCAGTAACCGTTTCATCTCTAGACATACTATAAGAAAGGTGTGTCAGTTATGGAAAATGTGCATGGTTTCTATGTTCTGTAACTATAATAATTTTTTACCAAATGATTTTGTTCTGGACATCCCTCGGGGCAGTTGCATGTGACTTTTGTCCACAGCTAGAGACACTCCTGCAGGTACTGGAATCCCTTGCCTCTCAAACAAGTTCTATGGAAGTACATACAAAGAATTTAATGTAAGGTAAAACAGCTAAATTAAAAATAAAAGTGAATAATATGTAATTATTTTAAATACATAAATTAGAAATTTAATGAAAAATAAAGAGTTAAATAAAATAGTGTGCGTTTGTCTCTTACACTGATCTCGGCTTGTGTGATGCGTCTGCTGGTCGGTCTCTGTTTCACAGTGGCTGCTCTGGAGTCCACCTCCGTGGGCCGTTGCCTCATCACCACTACAGGCTCCTTTGGTGAGCTCAGCATCTCATCCAACTTCTCTGTGAGGGATATTCACAAACACACCCTCAAAAGCGCTCTGACAACAAAACCGCATTTTGGCACACACACCTTATAAACTCATTTACTCACAAAACACCACAAAAACACAGATCATTCCCAGATCCCTTTGTGAGTCATTTTTACACATTCTGAAAAAAATAACAAAGAATACAAGCACATACTTTTGTAAACACACATTTTTTCTAATGGCTCAGGAAAAAAACATAAATACTGCACACAAAGACTTTACAATTCATGACACCACACACAAGCAAAATGAAGATCAGTAGGCCCACAACATGACATGCTGAACAGCAAATACCACCAGTCCACAGAACCAGTTTTAGAATCAAGACATGTTGATGATGTCTTGTCTTACCTCCCCTCCTTCTCCTTGACGCTTGTGGATAAGAAGCAGGAACAAATCTACAGTGCCTGATTGAGCTCACAGAATCAACACAATCTGTGCCTTTGATGCTTAGTTCAGGTTTGGGAAAGAATGTATACATTAAGTATACAGGAAGACGAGTTTTGTCCTGGCCTGTATCAAGATTATGTATGAAGAAGTTTTCCTTTTCATTATTAACACAGCAATATGGACCATACTCATATATATTTTGGCCATGATTTATTATTGCAGTGTGCAATTAGGTATGATCTGGGGTATCTGAACACAGTGAATTATGATACAACTGTTGACACAATTTCTGTCTGTTCTTGGTCTGAATGTGAATTTAAAACACTCCGTAAGTACTGGTACACACTGGGCAGGTCATAAAATGCCCAACAAGCATTTCAGACCAAGATGTGTGAATAAGCAAAAAATATCTTAAGGTTTCATAATGAATAAGCCAAAACTGTCAATTCAATTCAAAGCTTCATTTTTTAGCACAAGGTTTTCTTGCAACAGTAACAACAAGTATCAACATGTTTTGTGATGATTTTTAAATGGTTAAATGTATTTCACGAAGTACTGGTATTGCCAAAGTCAACAAAATAAATGTTGTAATTGCTAAAACATGGCAATATAATTTCTTCTACACACAGCACTGCAGACAACTGTGTAGGGCATTCCAAAGCTTAAAATGAAAACATCTTTAAAGGCATCTTTATCTACACCAACATTACAACCCCAATTTGGGCAAAATAACTAACTGCAAATTTTCTGACCAATATTGTGACTACAAGTTAAATTGTGATTATTTTCTATAAATTAACGTCCGGGCCTGTTGATTTGGCCAAGAAGACCGGAATGTCCACTTTTTCCAGCTTGATTTCCTCACTTAAACTGTATGACAATGTTTGTGATAATATAGGCTGTAATTAAAAGCACAGCTCTTGTGATTTGAAAATTGCACTCTTTTAATTTCGATATAAAAATGATTAATCTCTCAGCCCCAAAACCTGTACCTTTTTAATTCACACTTTTTAGCCAACACATATGCCTTAATAATAAGAAACATTCAGAGACAACTGCAGGTCGCCCATGCAATTCACCACTTTACAGTTCTCAGCTAAACTGTCACTCTCAGTATCTAAGCTAATTTGTCAAAATTGCCACCTTCAAGTACTTAGGGAATCCACATGAAGCTGTATTGCTCCCAATGGGACATATCTAGTCTCCCACTAGATTGAAATGAGATGAAACAGAGCACTTTGTGCTTTGCTGTCTAAAGAGAAGAAAGCATGTGTGCACTCCTTTGGGCTGTTTTCCATTACAGTACTGCTAGAAATAGAGCCGCACCATCAACCTACAAGAATTGTGGAAGAACACAAACGGGGCATGTGTGAGTGTGTGTTTGTGCGTGTGTGTATGGTGTGTGAAGGTATGATGTGTGTATCTTACCCATCTCTTCCAGCTCTGCGGTCATGCTTTTGGAGCGCAAAGTGAGGCTTGTGCTGGGGTCTCTCTTGGGAGGTGGAGGAGCTGAATGGTCATCAGGCATGCAGAGGGACATAACAGACACATGGCAGTTTAACAGAATAGCCTTGCATTAGGGATTGAAGCTTATGCACACGTACGTTTGCAGTAAATTGTCTCAATGTTAACTACTCTTGTGACACCATGTGTGGATGTATTTTAAAACGGGTATCTAGATGAATACCTTTCTTGCGGACAACATCTCCAGTGTCAGGTTTGCGTGTGACTGACACCACTTTCATAAGGAGACGACTACCACCCTGGCGAATCAGAGAGACCACCTGCCTGTGTCCCACTTTTACCACACTCACTCCGTTCACCTGTAAGTGATAGAGAGAGAGAGAGAGAGGTATAAATAACAGCATATTTATACTTTCAGAAACACCACATACGGAAGTCTATTTGATTTGAGATCACTTAACTACTGAACATAGTTTGATGCAAGTGTGTGATGATACAAGCCTGCAGTTTGTACCATACTAATTGGATGGTGTCCCACAGGTAAGAAAAATCAAAAGGAGATTCAAATCTCTGCAGTTTCTCCTTGACAACTAAAGAGACTTTTACTTAAGTGTCCTGCTGCTCAGATATTTCTCCTGAGAAAAAGACCCCAGTAATCTCATGTTTCTCTTCTTGAATTTCAGAAGAGATCTCAATAAAGTCACACATTTTGCTCAGATCTGTTCTTATCCAAGACTAACAGCCTTCTCAGTTTTGATGCTAAGAATAACTACTACTATTTTCATTTGGGCCAGATGGATCTTGTGACCCCTTTTGTCTAATGCTCTTTCTACTAAGGAATTTTGGGATAAATCACCATTAACTCTCCTGGGTCATGTTAGGGCAACACTTGAGCAATAGAATATTCCTCTGGGAAAAGCTTCCATTACTTGTTGTAATTTCAGACACTTTAAATATGTCTTGGCTGATAAACCACAATTGGAGTAAGGAGAAAATTGTGTACATTTGATTTCTTAAAAATTATAATAGCAATAAACTAAACATTTTACAAAATAAATAAAATACAATAATTACAAAAATTAAAGATCTGATCTGTATTCTGTGATGTATGCATTAAATGCAAATATCCTATGATAGTCACTTCTAAACTGTGCTTAGTAGCAGTTTAAACCATATAGGCCTTCACCTCTATGAGGAAATCCCCTGTTCGTAGTCCTGCCCTCCATGCTACCCCGTCCAGGTCCACTGACTCCAGGTATTGCAGGGCAGGGAATGCAGGAGTCGGCGTGAACTCTTCAATGGGAGTTTCAGCTGATAACAGAAAATGTACATAGTAACTGTTGGCATGTGACAGGTGCACGTGTGTTTGTAAGCGCGTATATGTGGGAGTGTGTTTGAGTTGTAAGAGTAGCAGACCTTTAGCCCCTCGTAGAACAAAGCCAAATCCTTCACTGTCTCTCTTCTGCAGTGTGGCACTTTTCTCCTCTATCACATAATCACTGGGGACAGGGACAGGTCAGTAGCAACACATATATTTTCTGTCCTCAAACCATTGTACTTCTAAATCCCACATAAGTCCACCTCAAATCTTTCAAAGAAGAATAGTAGGAGGGATGATGATTGAGATGCAAAGAGAGATTGTGTACCTGTAGGAGGTATAGTTGTCATAGGAGCCAACAGTGTAATGCCTGAAAAGCCTCTTGGTGCGATCCTCTCTGGTCTCTGCAAAACAAAAGAACTACAGTTCTGACAGTGCGCTGTTTCAATGGTATATCATAATACTAAAATATAAAATTATGATATGTACATATGTTACAGTCCCCAGTTTTGTTGGCTACATTTGTTTTATATCAGTATATTTATTAAGGATCTTGGAAACAGCTAATATTTTTGTGGGTGTATTGAAGAAGGCAAGTGAATACATATGAATGGTTGTGTGTCTGTGCATGGTGAGTATGTGTGAGTGTGTGCTCTAACCTAGCCGTGGGTCATACTGTCTCAACTGGACTTCCTCTACGCAGTGAGCAGGAAACCAACCAGTTCGTCCTTTAACTGAACCTTCCCAGAATCCTCCCTCACCTATGCTCAGCACTGGGAGAGAAATGAGATTGTTAGAAATGGTAAAGCCCCTCGCAAATCTTCTCAACGAAACCAATGCACCTAGCTTTTCATGTTCAGCTATGTTTCTGGCTTGTTGGTGGTCACATGCTAGTGGCATGGCTGATGATGGTGCATGGAGAATATTAAAGCAGCATTATGTGAAGTATTTTTGGTCCCACAAAAGTTGCGGAGTGTATTTCACCACTGTCATGAATACAAATCGCGCTTTGAGCCCTCCTCATGGACAGCTGTACATGTGCATTCGTTGAGCAGCTAAAGGATACAAAATCGTGAGTCCGATTTCCGTTCTTTATATATGTAAATAACTGAAATCGAGAGGGTAATTTGTACGTCCATATACCAGCATGAAGTGCATGCACGCAAAGCGGAGTCAGATTTTGCCAGGGGGTTAAAGTTCAACACAACACTGCCAACTACAACATCAGAAGAGAAAGAACCATGTCGACTTGCACGGTAGAGTAATATTACAGGATTTTTTATTACAGAAGGTTGCAAACTTTCAGGGCTTATTTGTCGTGAGTTTGGCAAAGACAGACCAAAATTTTTGGCGTGAGATGAATTTATTTCTTTACATGCTAGCCTGAAAAGGGTTAGATGACTTTTGACATCCAGAAAAACTACAAAACACTGTGAGACAGGGAAGACACAGGTAAGGTCATAGCCGTTGTTGCAGTCTTTCATAAATAAACAAGGATATACACTCTGCCGTCAGATTTTCGTTGTTTTCTCTCTTTAAGCTCTTGCAAATGAAAAAGTCAATCCGAGATTTACTCTTGTTACTTCGTTGCTTCCTTCGATAATGTCTTCTTCAGTCTCTTCGCAGTCTCTGCCGTTACGTCTAAGCTGGTTGAAGACCCATAGCTGTTGGTGTGTGATGTGGTGCCGTAAAGTGCTATGCAGTTCTCGAGACAGGTCTCATGCCCGCTCCTCCAAAGTTACATAGTGCTACAGCAGGCATCCCAGGCCCGAAGTGGACATGACAGAGATGTCGATCTATTGTAAGTACCATCAAACATGATTTTGAAGCTGTTATTTTAAGGTAAAACTGTTACATAATATTGCTTTAAGTGAATGGGAGATTATATTCATATTTCAGTTTTAATGGAAACTTCTACTATCTTTCAATCTGCACTGTTGAGTTAAGCTTTACCTAGTGCAGTACTATGGCAATGCGTATTTAATGTTTAGCATGCATGTCACTAAACATGCCACTCATGTTTAGCATGCAGGCATGAACGATCCAACATGATGTCCATTCAAAGAATATTCCCAAATCTGTTTTAAGTAAATGGATTTAATATGATTTTATAATCATGGAAATGTATTCAGTGGCAACCTGTTTTGGAGCACTGTATGTGAGTGCCCCTAACATACTGTAAGACAGACTGACCTTTGACCCTCTCCCCGCGGTTGAGTGTGATCTCACCCTCACCCTGCGGAGTGTGTGAGCTGACAGCGATGAAGGTACGGCCAGGCACAGCACTGTACAGCCTCCGCTTTGGCCCTCGTGATACAGCAGGGGGACTAGGGTCCCTCTGCACTGGACTGCCAGGGCTGCAACAGACACAAGTCATCATTAAACTGCTGCCTTGAAACCAGTACCATACTGCAATCACAAGGAAAAGTGACAATATATACCACAATATTCTACAAAAGAATTTTTCTTTACCATAGGAAAATCTAATATCGCTGTCGTTTCTCTTAGACAAAAGTGAAATCAGATGGAAATATTTTTTTTTTTGCTTAAGCCTCCTGCTTCACCTGAGCAGAAGACCTCAGTAACCTCATGTGTCTCCTTCTGAGGTTCAGCAGAGATCTCAAAGAAGACACACCCTGTGCTCAGACTTGCTGAGATAATAACATACATGTTTAACTGCAACTAAACTTTTGGCTCTTTTATTTCTCCTGTCTCATTTTTGTCCAATGCCATTCCACCTAAGAAATTTAGGAGAATCACCATTAAGTCCCTTGAGCCATCGAAGAGCAACATTTGAGCAATAAAATTTTCCTCAGGGATAACATCCATATGATGCAGTGCTTTGAGATTTATCAAAACATCACAACAGATATTTTAGTCCTGAACTAACCTCAGCCATCCTTAAGACATCAAGAGTTCGAAATCATAATGAGAGTTCAGTGTAAAATATTAACGGGACTTACAGCTATAGCTTCTTCAACAACTTTCTCTTCATCCCAAAAGCAGCCAAGACATAACTGGTGTCTGAAGTTTGCTTCTTTAGCTTTTCAAATAAATAAGCCTATTTGAGATTATGTAACAACTCAGCGCAGTTTGAGGTTGAAGAATTAGGGTTTAAACAGTGCTAAGAGGTGGAGCGTAAGCTTCCTTTACTTACAACCTTCAGCTACATAAATCCCATTGCTCCAGTGCAAATTTAAAGAAGCAAACTTTGCCGGCAAATATGTATCTAGATGTGTCCAGTACTTTCCGAATCAGTTAGGCCCACCTGAGGTGTCCGCGGGTCTGTCTCCTGAGGCTGCGTGTGTGTGTGTGCACCCCCTGCGGGCTGCGCTGTGCAGGCGATGTGTCGTCAGGCTCCAGTGGGGGCAGGCTGTGCAGTGACGGGGCTGGTGAGGGCGCAGGTAGACTCTCGTCCAGAGCGTTGTCACTGGCCGAACGCATCAGGGAGCGGCGCGGCGACACACACACCCCGCGGCGCCGTGACGAGTATGAGGGACTCTCCCTGAAAGGCACTGCGACAGAGAGACAGTCTCACACACATACACACCATCGACCCAGGGTCACGTACGCATACACAGAATCAGGTGTCTGTGTATTCTCTGCGATCCCAGAGCACGACACCGGGCATTTGTTGAAGGTGGCAAACATGCAGGTAACAAGAGTTTACACCACACACACAACAACTGCACACTCACAAACAAAAGTAGACATAGATGTAAAATACTTGGGCATTAATCTACATGTGTTAAATACCAAATCAGAAACAGCCGGTTTGTATATCAACACTAATTAGTCATTTGTAGTGTCATGCTGCATACTGCAAAAGTCTGAAAAAGTCTTAAAACACTGAGAATAATGCCCATTGAGTAGTTGGAGATTACACAAAAGGATAACAAAAATTGTGCAAAGGGATTGAACAAGTGTTACAGAATAGATTCATGGACAACCCAGAGATTGAGCAGAAAAAACTTCACGAAACAGAGAATACACAGAAATACATATATAGTATTTCACACACACACACACACACACCCACACACACACACACACCCCACACACACACCCACACCCACACCCACACATACATGCACACCCACACATTCACACAGACAGACCATATAGAGATTACAAACAGATGACTCACAGATTACATCAAGATCACACAGAGAAGCACTGAGATTTACAGGGAGAGCACACACAGATTATAGAGACATTGCATAAAATCTTAATAATGGCCTAAATTATTTAAGCAGAGATCACAAATTTATCAGGTATGGCAGTATGAATGAGGATGTTTTTGGACCAACCAAAACAATTTTAGCTTCTGGGCTGGATTAAACCTCACGCTTTGATTTTTATATAGCAAACTTCATTCTAAGATGCTAGCATAAGTAAGAGTTTGAACAGTCTCTCTAACGGATAAGCTGAGTTTAAAAAGACGAATGATTTTGGGAGCTCGGCTTTCTCTGACACAGGGACTAATGCAACAATCCGACCAGTCAATTACACGTTTGAGTGTTTTTTATGTGCTCATCGATTCCATTATTGTTAAAAGGCTCCCCTGTTCTGGTCCACTTAACGAAACAAACTGGATTATTGAAACTCAGCCAAAAGGCTGCATTTTGATGGCTTTCACCTGTGCTTGTGAGTCAGATTTGTGAAAGATGCAGAAAGGGCCACTTGTGAGAGCTGATTGTGGGAGTTTATTGGTAAACATTTTCTGACCTCACAGTGCAAGGGCTTGGTAAAGACAAGAGGGCAAATTAACTCTTACTTACCTACATCTGAGGTTTTATGGATCTTTATGATCTCTGCCAGGTCAAAATTCCCTGCAATAATGGCCACCTACAAATTCAAGTTTCAGTAGTTCATTAGAATTATACCACATTTTGAACACTGATGCAAAATAATCATACAACAGAATGTAGCATTGCAATACAAATACACAAAAATGATAAATAATTGGATATGGATGCCTATTATCCTCCTACCTATGTGTCATTTTTCAGATGTAAAGTTTATTTACTTTTGGTGAAACCTTGAAGATTTTCTTTTCAAAACAGAAGCAGTTTTAATGTGTATGAATTTCATCAAAATATTACATTTAATGTTAATTTAAAGTAATTGGTATCGTACATTTATGGGAGGCAAATCCAGCCAAAAAATGGAATGAAAATGAAAAAGCTAAGAAAGAAAAGAAAATCCAAGCTTCACTTTGGCTTTGGCTTTTCTTCATGAAATGCAGAATACGTGTCAAGACTAAAATCAAAATGCAGTGTTTATGTTCTTATTTCTTTTTCACAGCAATCGGCTGCATATCTGACAAAATGAAAATGAAAATGCAAAATGGATAAATCAACAGCAAAGTGACAGTTTGTGATTCAGTTTTCAGGCAAATGCAAACGAACATCAGCGCCACCTGCTGGACATTTACTTTACATTTTCCACTTTTCGCTTTCAAACTGACCAACATGCAAATATATGTTAATTAGCACTAGGCAGGGCTAAACTGGAAATGTTATACTGGCATTTATATCGAGATACATAATAGTTTTCTAAGTTATACGAACCAGTATGTGCTCGACCAGGCCTGCGTTTGGTCTGATACCTTTTCTCTGAGGCCGTTTTTTTCTGACGGTATTTGTGCTGACGTTCAGTTTCACCAGATCTGAGTCATCACAATGGTTTTTCTCGAGACTCAAAGTCGTTTAGCTTGAGGAATGATGCCGTTCTGAGGTCTGAGGATGTCCTAAAATGTACCCCGTAGCCCCGCCTAGTGCTAATTAACATATATTTGCATGTTGGTCAGTTTGAAAACGAAATCGAAAAGTGGAAAATGTAAAGTAAATGTCCAGCAGGTGGCGCTGATGTTTGTTTGCATTTGCCTTTTCATTCTGACACCTAAAGCGCGTCCGAGCCGAAAACTGAATCACAAACTGTCACTTTGCTGTTGATTTATCCATTTTGCATTTTCATTTTCATTTTGTCAGATCTGCAGCCGATTGCTGTGAAAAAGAAATAAGAACATAAACACTGCATTTTGGTTTTGACTCGTATTCTGCATTTCATGGAGAAAAGCCAAAGCCAAAGTGAAGCTTGGATTTTCTTTTCTCTATTAGCTTTTTCATTTTAGATTTGGCCATGAATACCAGAATTACTACTAAAATGAAATGAAAAATAGCTTATACATTTATTTTTATTTTTGTCACAAATGGCTCGTGCTCATGTGAAAAATGAAATTGCAAATGAAGCAATTTCATTTCATTTAATTTTAAATTTTGGCAGGATATTTGCGCAGATGTTTGGAAAAAGAAATGGCAAAAAGAGGTTTGCATTTATGTTTTATGGTTTTAATTTCAATTTCTTTTTTGGCTGGATTTGCCTCCCATATACATTATCTCTTATGAATGGAATTCATGGGGTCAAATTATCAATGATGACATTATAATGGTCACTGTGTTATATGTATGGCAGAAAAGGCAGAAAAGTCGAGCTCTGCTCCTAAAAATAATATAAAGTGTAAAAATTTATTATAAAAAATGTTGTAAGTTTGTGAAATATACGCTTGTCAATATATGTGGATTACATTTTGTAAACAACAGCTCTTATGATTTGTTTAGTATGCTAATATTAGCGAGTAATTAGAAAGCTGCTGGATACGGAGTAGTCTGCCTCTTAACGGTAAACAAACTGTTTGACTGTGGTTTACACTTTGTTGTACAGGAGCTGAGAGCTAGTCTGTGCCTTTTTAAGACCCCAACGTTTTGTTCTTGTGTTTGTCAGCTAATAAACTCAGCACTACACCTGAAACCACAGCTTTTGTGAAGAATCATTAATCGCATAAAGTGGTCCGATACAGAGGGGTTACAAGTAGTTCATTAGAATTTTGAACACTGATGCAAAATAATCATACAACAGAATGTTGCATTGCAATACAAATAAATAAAAATGATAAATAATTGGATAAAGAATGCCTATTATCCTCATAATTATGTGTCATTTTTCAGATGTAAAGTTTATTTACTTTTGGTGGAACCTTTAAGATTTTCTTTACAAAAAAAGGTGGTACAATTTCTCAAAAGGCTACCTGGAAAGCTGTCTGGTTGTTGTAGTTCTTGATTTCTTTATTTGCTCCTCGGAACAGCAGCACTCTGGCACAGCTGTCCTGCAGGGAGGTGAGGGGGGAGGGGTGGAGGTGGGGGACAGGAGAGGGGAGAAAAGGCCGGGTACAGACCATGGAGAGAGGAGAGGGTATACTGGTGTAGGGTTGAGGAAACGTATATACAACTTGTTAAAATGGCATAATTCTGATGTCAAACAGGGACCTTCAACTCTGGTCCTGGATGCCTGCTGCCCAGCACAGTTTAATGATTTCTTTGCTCAAACACATCTGATTCAGCTCATATGTAATTTGCCAGGGTTAGTAGGTGTTTTCTGAGTAGGGCAATATCCAAAATGTGCTGGACACCAAGCCCCCAGGATCAGAGTTGACTACCCCTGAAGTAGTAGATGATCATGCGTATGGGTTAAGGCAGAGATGCATAACTCTGGTACTGGAGGGCCAGTGTCCAGCACAGTTTGGTGATTTACCTGTTTAAACACACCATATCCCAGGTTTAGTGTATTTGAGTGGGGGAACTACCAAAATGTGTTGGACAACGGGCCTCTGAGATCAGAGTTGAGTACCCCTGAAGTAGTGGATGATCATGCGTAGTGGTTAAGGCATGTACATGGCTGTAGGGGACTAACAGTAAAGGCACTTCAAGCACCAATTCAATTTTACACAATTTTTCAACTAAGCCTACTTAAGATTGCTTAACAACTTCAAAACGACACAGTTTGAGCAAAAGGTATGATGATTCAGGCAAGCAGTTTCCAAATGCTAACTAGTGTGGTGTAAGCTTCAACACTTTTTAGCTACATTAGCCTCGTAGCTCTAGTGTAAAAATAGAGAAGCAAGCACCTAAGTGATTTGGTGGCTGATTTAGCATGTTTGGAGTATGGAGAAAATCATGCAAACTTCATTGTTTGACAAACTATCGCTTTGGCACACTAAATGCCAAGAGTATGTGGACTCTTGACCATCACACGTATATGTACTTGCTGAATTATGTAACCTCCTTCCAAAACCATGGACATCAATATAGAGTTGATCACTCATCTGCTGCTATAACAGCCTCCACTCTTCTTGGAAGGCTTTCCGCCAGATTTTAGAACATGGCTGCAAGGATTCGCTTTCATTAAGCCACAAAAGCATTAGTGAGGTCAACTGACGTTGGGCGATAAGATCTGGTTTGCTGTCGCTGTTCCAACTCATCCCAAAGGTGTTTACTGGGGGTAAGGTCAGAGGCTCTGTCAAGTTCCTCCTGTTCAGTTAAGTTCTTCCACACCAAACTCCTTCCCCAAACGCAATTCTCACAGTTCTCCACAATGTCACTGTATCATTAAGATACGCCTTCAGCGGGAGACCATTACTCCTCCTCCACTAAACTTTACAGCTGGCACTGCGCATTAAGACAGGAAACGTTCTGGCATTCAACAAACCCATATTCATCTGTCAGACTGCCAGATGGTAAAGATTAATTGCTCCAAAGAGCATGTTTCCACTGCTCTCGAGTCCAATGGTGGTGTCCAGTGGCAGCTTGGCACTGTGCATGGTGATCACGGTGATCAAACTCAATCCGTGAAACCCCTAACAAACATTTCTTGTGCTGATGTCGCTTCTAGAGACAGTCTGAAAATTGAAAATGTCGCTGCACAGCTGAGCTATTGTTGCTCTGAACTTTTCCAGTTCACAAAATCCCTACTTAAGAGTTGACCAAGGTAGTTTTAGCAGTGCAGAGATTGACAAGCTGTAAAGGAAAGGTGGCATCTTATGACAGTGCCATGTTAAAAGTCACTAAGCTCTTCAGTACGAACCATTCTACTGCTTATGTTTGTCTATGGAGACTGCATGCCTGTATGCTGGATTTTATGCACTTCTTAGCAATGGATGGGGTTAAAATAACTGAATCCATAAATTAGAAGGGCTGTCCACATACTTGTGTGTGTGTATACCTGGTTGTAGAGAGCACAAAGGTGCAGCGCTGTGTTTCCTGAGGCATTCTGCGCACTCATCTCTGCTCCATAGAACAACAGGTGCTCAAGGTGCTGCACGTTCCCATGGCGACAAGCCTGCAGAGCAAAGCCCCATAACGCCCTCCAGACATTAGCCCTCTGCTATGGATAGAATAAGTACCATGTATGTGTTTGTACATGTGCTACCTGGTGTATCTCCTGCCAGCCATTCTCGTCACTGTAGCCAAGCTGAGCGTGATCATACAGCAGCAGCTCACAGCAGTATGGATCACCCCCCACCATGGCACTGTGGTACAGAGGAGTCAGCCCACGACTGTCTTTATAGTCTGGAGACGCACCAAGATCCAGCAGTGTCTGCAGAGGGGGAGAGAGAAGACAGAAATTGTTTGCAATGTAGCCTTGTCTGATGAATCTCAATTTCTGCTTAGGCAGGGTAAGGTCAGAACTTGGCACCAACAGTATGAAACCATGGATCCAACCTGCCTTGTTTCAACAGTCCAGGCTGGTGGAGGTGGTGTAATGGCTGCAAGGATTGGAATATTTTCTTGGCATACTTTGGGCCCGTTAAACCAATCATCGCTTGTTGCATCATCATCGCAATGAGTATTGTCGGTTGATTGTGTGCATCCTGTCACGGCCACAATTTATGGCCACATCTGCTAATGGCTACTTTCAGCATGATAATGCACCATGTCACAAAGCAAAAGTCATCTTAAACTGGTTTCATGAACGTGACATTCAATGTTCTTCAGTGGCCTCTGGGATGTGGGAGAATGGGAGATTTGCAGCATGGAAATCTGCAGGAATTCATGCAAATATCTAATCAGCCAATTGTGCAGCACATAAAATCATGTGGATATGAGTTAGGAGCCATGATATACCATTAAAATGAGGAAAAAATGTGATCCCAATGAGTGTGTTTACAGGCACTTATTAATCCGATAACTGTAGAAAAACAGATTTTGTCAGTAATCCATTCACCCCATTTACAAGCCCTTGGGTAATCAGATAACGGGGAAAATCCAGGTCTACATGAGTCAGGCAATAATCAGATTTCTGCTTTCCAGTTGGCCAATAAACTCACAGAAAAAGATATGACGTAAACGTAACAAACACATTGTAATGCTGGGGCTTTTTTTTTTGCATATCAAATCACTCAATTACTGAGCTAAAATACAGCTCTCTTTATTGGATTTCTGATTTGAATTCCTTGGCCTTCCTCCGATCTGACAAATCAGAGTATGCTGTTTACTTGACTACTTAAAGAATCAGATAACTGCAGAAATCCGATTATGATTGTGTTACTTATTGCATGTTGACCATGGCATGATTGTTGGTGCCAGGCAGGCTGGTCTCAATATATCTATAACCGCTTATCTCCTGGAATTTTCATGCACAACAGTCTCTAGAGTTTACTCAGAATGGTGCAATAAAGAAAAAACATCCAGTGAGCAGTAGTTCTGCAGCCTTGTTGATCAGTGAGGTCAACAGAGAATGGCCAGACAGGTTTGAGCTATCAGAAAGGCAACGTTAATACAGAAAACCACTCTTTACTGCTTTACTGATTTTCTAATTTGCTTTTCTAATCTGCATCTCAGAATGCACAATATGTTTAACCTTGAGGCAGACGGGCTACAACAGCAGTCAGGTTCCACTTCTGTCAGCCAAGAACAGAAAGCTGAGGCTGCAGTGGGCACAGGCTTACCAAACAGGAAGGTTGAAGACTGGAAAAATGTGGCCTGGTCTGATGAATCTCAATTCCTGCTGCGGCACACAGATTGTAGGGTCAGAATTTTGCGCCAACAGCATGAATCCATGGATCCAACCTGCCTTGCTTCAACAGTCCAGGCTGGTGGAGATGGTGTAATGGGGTGGGGAATGTTTTCTCGACACACTTTGGTCCCGTAAATACCAATCACTGTTTGAATGCCACAGCCTATTTGAGTATTGTTGCTGAGCATGTGCATCCCATCATGGCCACAATTTATGGCCACATCTGCTAATGGCTACTTCCAGCATGATAATGCACCATGTCACAAAGCAAAAGTTGTCTCAAACTGGTTGCATGAACATGATAATTCAATGTTATTCAGTAGCCTTCCCAGTCACCAGATCTGAATCCAATAGAACACCTCTGTGATATGGTAGAACTGGAGATTCGCAGCATGCAAATCTGCAGGAATTGCATGATGCACTCAAATCAACATGGACCACAATCTCAAATGAATGTTTCCAACATTTTGTGGAATCCATGCCACTGAGAACTGAGGCTGTTCTGAGAGCCTAGTATTAGTATAGTGTTCCTAATAATGTGCTCAGTTAGTGTACGTCCATAGAACAATGTGAATTAATTTGTCAATTAAGTTTTTACTTGTTTTCATGTATCATAAACCATCTTCAAAGACAAAAAACAATTAACAAAACTCATATATTAGGCCTACATTCATAAAGAAACAGTTCAGGCACATATACACCAGAAAATACATATTACCCAAAAACAGGCAAAGGTCCATCCCTTTTAGCTTTCCTATTTTTTTCCTCAAGAGACAAGTTCTATTAATCAATCAACATTATAAATGTATTTTGATTTCAGAGATTTCAGTTTTTCTCCCAATGGTTATTTCATAACCAGGTCAGTTTCTAAGAGATTTTAGCACTATCTTCCAGAAAAGCATTTGTGTATTCCTGTAGTGCATGACGACGTACCAATTTCTTGTTTATACTTTCAACACATATTGTCATTCAACACTCTTATTTACAGAATCCAGATGCCTTCTGAAGGAGCCTTCGTAGTTCACAATATTCTTTCTACTATTCATTATTTGTCTATATTAAAAAGCTACTTCTTCTAATTTGTAAATATTTCCAGAAATAACACTGACCTTCCAAGTGGTTTTTCATGTCTCCTATATCAAGGCTACAACAGATTACAAGCACAGAAGCACACATTTTACAGCAGAAAATGCTTAGTAAAGATGGTTTTGGATTTTGCAATGAACTCACAGTTAGAGCTACGTGATTGTGCGTCTGTACTGCTTTGTGCAGTGCAGTAATGCCATCTCTGGTTCTGAAGTCCAAGTGAGCTCCTCCACTCCTCAGAACTTTAATCAGCTCAGCGCTTGAGTCTAACTGGGCTGCCAGGGTTAGTGGGGATTCTGAAACACAACACAAACACACAAAACTCTCTCACAAGTGATCAAGCACCTGTCTGTTGCCTATAGAGAAAACCCAAGGTGGGAATGATTACTTATCAACAGAATGTCTAGTTTAAAGCTGATGTAATTGATTCTTTTAAAAACACTTCAGCTAAACTGTCTTTTTCATCCTGATAGCTACATCTAAAATAGAGGGTCTGTGAAACGAAAAAGTCTCTGTGGCTGTCCTAGGCTCTGTAATGAGGAACTGAAAATTTCAATACAGTCTAGTTGTATGTGCCAAAGACGAAAGGTGGCTCCAAGGATGTGATCTTCCCTTCCGTATGGAAAGAATAGCCCATGTAGAATCGCCTATGCGTGAACAGGGAGTAAAGCACTGTCTTGATTTTCTTAGGCCTCTAAGTGAGGTTACTGATATATCTAATGGAGCCAATGGCAGAGAAAGCTGATGTTTGCAGTCCAGTTCAAAAAAGTGTCCAAAAAGGACTGCCACGGAGCAAGAGGGAGGACAACTGTGAATATCGAAGTGGATTTTTAGCAATGGAGAGATCTGAGAATTGATGGGCTTAAAACAGATGCAGAGCTAGCTTTGCTTTGTAGAATCTGGTGTAATCACTTATTTCCAAAAAAAAAAACCAGCTGTCCCCCTGTTAGCTGGTTAATGTTAGCTAGAAGAGTTAATAAGCAAGCGGTCTCAGTCTCATCTTGGTCTCGACCTCATTGAGACTTGGTCTGGTCTTGGTTTCGGGGTAAAGTAGACCAGCCAAGTGTGATGCCTTCATCGGAGGTAACTAGAAGCTGAATTATTGTTGAATATCACGCTACATGTAGATGCCTTGCTAGGATATAGACAGAAGCAACCAGAGCTGGAAGACATGCAAAACTCAAAGTTTCAATCTCCGTTTTAAAATGAGTAATAACAAAGACTTTCTTTGTTCTGGCACCTGTTGTGCTCATATAACGTGGTAAGTAATTGTTTGTTTCATTTTTTTTAATAATTCTTGATAACAGAAGTTATTTATACAGTTTAGCTCGTCACTCGGCTGTATCAGAGTCGGCACTAACTGGTGTTCTGACAAAGTGCTGCCTTGTTGAAATGTCTGACTGTACCGCGTATAAGACAGAGCTGTACATAAAACTGTATGTAGGATATTTTGATAGTCTAAATCAAACAAAGCAGAAGTCAGCTTCTTATTCGCCAGATTCTTGCTCATCAATTACATTCTGGGGCCTCAGGCTCATTAAGGTAGAACTTCTTATCAGAAAATGTTACTAGCACCAAAGGAATAATAAATATTACTGAAAGCTGTACTGTTCATATTACACTGTTTACAAATCTGTTGATAGAACATCACTAATTGTAGTTAATCTTTGGCTATATTTTTTCTGCCATATTTTTAGCTATTTTAATAATAATTTAACAATAAAAATTTTTATTTATATAGCACTTTTCAAGCCGGTGGCAGCTTAAAGTGCTTTACAGACAAGTGATAAAGCTTAACTGTAATGGTTGCGTAATATCATCAACCTTCAGCAGTCATTGTTATTGTAACACAAAACGGACAATGCAGAAAATGTTTTAGGCTATATATTCAATGTGATATATGATAAAAATATAACTGCTAAAAGTCTTGGTCTTGACTCAGACTCGATGTGTCCCGGTCTCGGTCTTGACTCAGACTCAGACCTAGCGGTCTTGACTACAACACTGCCTGTTGTGGCAAGCTACAAAAGCAACAGTTAGATCTGTTTAACACTTACTACCTCTGCTTGACATGAGCAAAGTGGCAGCGTAACTGCTACAGCTCATATACATTGCCGTTTTCCAAACAGATAAATGGTTAAACGAGTTACTTTGCTTAATAAAAATACAACTTAAATTTATAAAAGAGCATGGTACAACTGTTGACCTTTTTATTGTGAAAGATTGTAATAGTAAGATGAGTCTCTAGATCATGAAAAAAAAACCTCTTCTCACCTCCACTATCTGTATCATGGAAGTTGGGATCTAGCCCTTTCTCCAGGAACCTGCAGACTTTCTCCACATTCCTCTGCTGAACATACTCCATAAACTTCTTCAAATTGGCCTGAAAGAAATGAACACAGCTTCAAAAGAATAGAAGGTATTAATTATGCTTTGATAAAATACAGACATGTGTGACGTGTATTACCTTAGTATGGAGTTTGGCTAATTGCTTGTCATCCACATGGCTCTGAGTGTAAACACGTCTCTTATAGCGGAACTGCAGACACACACATGAGGTGCCACAGATCATAAACGTCAAAGAAATAGTCCATTGTTTTTTCAACCTAATCTCTATGTACCACAGTTGTGTACAGCTGATTAACACAAACAATAATTTCAATGCTTTTCTGTGTACTTTAAAAAAGAACAGAAAACCTGTTCACTCAAAACACACGTATAACAGAAGTGAAAGGGCTGCTGCTTAATTTTGTTAATGTAACATTTAAGCGAAACATATTTGTACATAAAATCCTAAATCTGTTGATTTATTTTTCAGCGATGGGACTAGTTTTCCAGGGGGAGAAATTCTTGATAGCATGTTACCAACACAATGTTGTGGATGGAGTTTTCATAGGTTACTACCTGCATGGATGCTAGAAAACCTCAGGAAAAGCAAGAGTAACCTGAACTGCTTTTTTACTGTGTTGCTCCAGTGTTCAAAAGTTGGATAAAACTTCATAAGAACATCTGTGGTAAGACATTCCCTCATATCTGTCTCATCCTAAGACCGGTACTGATAGCAGTGTTGAGAAAGTTACTCAAATTAAGTGATGAATAATGAATAATTACATCTCTCAAACTGTAATTGGGTTACTTATCCCTCCTGGAAAATGTAATCTCACTACTCATAACTTTATTTTTATGTTAATCTGTAAAACCCACATGTCTGTACTAGCTGAAAATCCAACAGTCCTTTAAGTACCTTATTTAGAAAGAAATAGCCAATCACAGGGTACATTAATGTGTGTGTGTGTGTGTGTGTACCTCTAGGTAAGGTACAGGTGTGACAGTAGGGAGGGGGTACTCTCTGAGCAATCTCTCTTCATCTAGGAACTTGCCGGCTCGGCCGTTGAAGGCTGGGAGGTAGAGGCCATAGTTCAGCACATCTGTCAGGCTCTGGGTCAAAGTGACCAGGACTCTCTGCTTACAAACCCACACTGGAGCCTCCAGGTCCAAACGCAGACATTTCTGTATAAACAAAGATTAGGTGCACACACACACACACAGACACAGAATTGTTCATTCCATTTGTGTTGGGTTAGTAATGGGTTTGGATTATATAGATTATAATAAGCCACTGCTCTAAAATCATTTTGCAGTTGCCCTCAGTGGGCCATGAGGACCGTTCAGTGTCTATTCAAAGACTCTTAGCCTTCATTGTACTTTCCTCTCATGGAGACTAGCTCTTAATTTACCCCATTCTTTTCAAGTCTAGTGAAGAATGCAAATGTTTTCCTTTCCAAAAATCCCAGCCCATCTATCCTAGTGTTTCCCAACAAGAGCAGTGTAGTCCACCTGCACTGAATAGTTTTGTGTTTTACCTGCTCTAACACAAGACAGCTAAAGACGAGGATTATAATTAGCTAATGACATGATTCGAGTGTGTTAGCGCAGGGAAAACACTAAGCCATGCAGTGAATGGAAGGCTCTAAGACTGGAGCTGGGAAACACAGATCACACTGAAACACAGTGTCACACTGAATGCCTGACAAACATTTATTCTGAATGGGAACAGGGTAAAGTAACTGCACTGACAGTTATTTCCAGCCAAGCTGATTTTGTACACTGCAAAAGCAATCCATATATGCAGAGAAATGCAAAAGTACACAAGGGAATCATATGCATACTGCAGCCACATACACAGAGTCAACAGCCGTGTCTGTGCCCATCATGAGAGCACTTTCTCTTTATTTTCTCTGTGCAGCCATTTCAAGCAAAGGACAGAAAAAGTGGGAAAGAATTATGCTGTGTGTGTCGGAAAGAGAGATAGACAGAGAGAGAGACAGAGAAAGAGACAGAGAGAGAACACATCACGCAGTATGGTGATGCCATCTCTGTTCTCTGCTCATGAACTCCAGCCAATCTCCTCCACTCCTCAGAACTTTAATCACAGAGGACACTCGGAGCACTCACCGTCTGCTGAAGGTCGGGGATTCCAATGCGGATAATGACGGCGTTTCCGTGGAGATCCTCCATGGGTTCGGTGGAGGCGGATTTGGTCCCAGGAGAGGCCCGAATGCTGTCGTCTCCGTGGTTACCGTTGGTAGGGGTGTGCTGTTGCCGCGGCCTATCGGGAGCCTCATGTTTGCCGTCGGCAGGTGGACTCATAGGCATGCTCTGGGAATGCGTGTGTGTGTGCGTGTGGGTGTGTGTGCGCTGCTCAACACGCTGGCCTCACAACCCTACGAACATAGCACACACACAGAGCTTCTCAGGGTGTCTTGTAATCAGGTCATACTGCGTTTTTTTCCTCTCTTTTTTGCATGTTCACAGCGAACAGCATATTTCAATTTGTGTTTGAGTCTGCATTTGTGTGTGTGAGACTTGAAGTCCACTGGTTGTGAGTGGTTGCCATGGACACTGTGAAACAGATCCATTTGGGAATAATGGAATTTCAGGGAACCCTGTATCTCATGTTACCATGGCAACGCTGCACTGTGCTTGTTCTGCTGAGCTACGACTCCTCCACTTCCTCTTCTAAGAGGCCACACACTGTGCTGGCCCTACCCGCTCTACCAGACAACATCAGCAACCCCCAACACACACACACACACACACACACAGCAGGCACTCACTTTATATACCACGCAGACCACTACCTTACACAGAAAATCTCATATCGCGCACACACACTCCTGTTCCTGTCACTAGTAACTTATACAGCCACGTTTCCCACCACCCACACAAACTCACATGTGCAATCACACACCCGGCGGCACCATGCAAGAAAGTCCCTCGCTATTGTCCTGGAAGGCAGAGAGGAAGTCCTCTATTATATAACAGACAGAAGCAGGAGAGCACGGAAGACGGAAAGAACCACAAGGCCAAGAGGTGAGTTGGCCTTCATCATAAGTAGCTACCATCATCATCTTCATCATTATTACCGCTGATATCTAACTTACCAAAAATACACCCAACAATCGAGAGAACTATGAGCACTTCAAAACATTCACAAATGCTCATACATATCCTGTCATAATATTAATAGGCCTATTTGTCATGATGTGGTCCCCTATGTGACAGACAGAACCACCCACAGCATTTTTCAGCTTGGAATATCACGTCTCTCTGAAGACGATCATCAAATTATTGACAGTTAAAAACATGACTGCGACAGAACTTCGCACTGATTTCAATACTCACATGAAGTATATTCACATACTGATTAAAAACAATGAAAAACAATTGATAAAACGATAAGAATGTCCATCATCTAATGAGAGTACATATTATTCACCTTCCCATATGAAGCTTGCTGTAGGACTGTGGATATGTCTGCAGCCCTGGGATCTTCACAACACTCCAAAATTTTCCAAAATCAGCCTCCAATATCACGAAAGTGCCCTCACAGTTTTCCGATTGTTATTCCAATTTCGCGTCACAAGTAACAGAACTGAATTTCTCAGTGGTTCCTGTGAACTCCTAGACTTCAGGAAGCTTCAAGCCCAACCCTGAAGCTGTGAGGCAGAAAGCAGGAAAACTAGCAGGAAAAAGGAAACTGTAACAGGAAAGGCTCCATTCCCTGCACTGCACACTTCAGCCAACCAGCTGGCTCCTTTCAAACACCTCTGCCAATAAGAGGCCTTGTTTTCAATACGTTAACCAATAACCCACGTCTAAATTAAAAACAGACTAATACTCAATCTCTGCTTCAATGCATCAGCTTGGTTGGAGGCCGATCCTACTACGACTATAACTCCTATTCACATTTAACAACCCAGTGGGCATGAGGTACGTAGACCAAAAATTCAGGATTATTAGTCCATACCCTAAGGAATGCTGATCTACAAGGTTCCTAAAGGTCTCCTGGCTTGGACGTATAGTTGAAAAAGTTTCACACTCAGATATCTTGTTTACAAAAACAGTGTTTTTAAATGACCACTGCTTTCAAAGGTTGCTTAGGGAAACAAAATTGACCCCCTACTCTACCTATTTTTGTATTTTTCCTATTCTACACACCTGTCTCAGCCCACAAGGAGCTTTAATCAGGCATGCTCCATGAGACAAAGCACAAAAAAAGTGCATAGTGTGGGGACGCCAAGGTTGAGAGAGTTACTTTTAAAAATGTATTCTGGTACAGACTACTGACCACTTGTTGAAAAATGTAATGTGTAATTGATTATTTTAATTCAGAACTGATTATTTTACATTACTTTTGAATTACTTGTCTCTTTTTAAGGTTGTATAATTAAATAAAGACAACAGAAAACCAGTTTCAACAAAAATTTACCTTAACACAAGGTAAAGAGGAACAGGAGTACTCTGTTTTATAAAGCAAAACAACAGATTGTAGGTGGCTTAATTGTCTGTGCTTTATGTGTGATATGCTTGTCGCCAAATGAAAATTGGGTATTCAAAATATACTAAACAAAAATATAAATGCAACACATTTGGTTTCGTTCCGATTTTGCAGTAAAAAAAGATCCAGAACTTTTTCCTAGAAATGTATCACACTGCTGCAGGTACATGGTGGTCACAACAGATACTAATGTGGGAATTCTGTTTCATATCCCACCCTGTTTTCAGTGGAATTACAGTAAAATCTTTTTAGTAAAAAGGAAATATTTCAAACATAAAAGTGGTCAATTTCTACAGTTTAAATTGTATGAGTTTAGACTCATGAGCAATGAAAAGTTGAAAAGTTTAGATTTAGATTTAAGTTTAGACTAGCTCCCCAAAAGAAAATTTTAAAAGGAAAATGGAAAAAACAGAGGTGATCGCTGTAGAATGATTCAGTTTGTTCAAGTTTACCAACTATGCAAATACAACATAGTTAAAAACTATATACTGCTCTCCTGGGATTTTACCCTATTTGTTAAAAATCTGCTGCTGGCCATACCAAAATCAAAATATCAATCAGGCAGACATCTTCTTTAGAGACCCTTCATGAACAATAATTCTAAAAAGAGAATATTTTGTGTTTGATCCACTAAAAGGCTCTATACTGGCTCATAAGGCCTCATATTTGTGTGTCATGCTTGGACTTTGATGCTTGCTGTTTGTGATGATGGCATTGGTTTCACACATAATGTAAAGGTGAGCTGACAGTCTTAGTTAAAAATAATGATAAATTAAACATTAACATTTCGCAACCCATCATTCAAAAACCGAACAAAGAAATAATTTATGGGAATATGAAACCAACTCATAAAACTTTGCCCTATTTTTATGCTTTGGAACTTTTGGAGTTCATGTTAGTTCATAGTTTTAGTTAGTTTTAGTTCTTTTAATTCATATTTAGCATTAAAACAAGGCTGGTTAATGTTAGTAAAAATTTGATATATAGTTAGTCAAACTCTAGAATTTTATATAGCAACAAATGAGAATAAAAGTGCTTACTCTCAGTCAGATCAGTTTGCTGTTGTAGAATCTGTGAATTAAGAAATCCAGGGTAAATGTCAGGTTAAATATTTCAGTGACTTTGGGAAAAAGCTACAGATCTTAATACTGCAAATAAAATTGGACATATTTACTAAAATTTCTATGGATTGGCTGAATAAAACAACACAAATTGCTGCTGAGGAGGGGAGATTCTTCAGAATTCTTTGCTAGCAGCAGCATACGTCTAATCTACACTAAATACATTATAAACTCTTCTAATATACACTATATGCATTCATGTGACACATTTAACATTCAAAACGATGGATTTCAACAAAAGGTGATGGGCATGTGTGAAGTTTGAATGTTACCCTGCTGGTAATCATTCATTCCTGCCTTTTTTCTGTAACTGTAACAGAATACAGTTACTTCTTTTTTTGTATCCTGATCACGTATTGCGGATGCATGTATCCCATTACTACTGAATTTTGGTAGCAGCCTACATGAGGGTCCTCTATGAGCATCCCCTTGCTGCTTAAGGGATGCTGCACGATGCTTCTTCTTCTCTTACTTTCTTCCAAAATCACTATGGCCTTAAAAATTTGTAAAAGTGACTGCTCAGCGGCCAAGTTATGTACGTATGTATGTTGCGCTGGTATGTGTGGATCAAACACAGCAGTGCTGCTGGAGTTTTTAAACACCTCAATGTCACTGTTGGACTGAGAATAGTGTAATTGAGTGGACAGAGAGTGGACACAGTGTTCAAAAACTCCAGCAGCACTGCTGGGTCTGATCCACTCGCATGAGCACAACTCACACTAACACGCCACCACCACATCAGTGTCAGTGCAGTGCTGAGAATGATCCACCACCCAAATAATACCAGCTCTGTGGTGGTCTGACGAGATGCAAGTATGCAGTCTGTAATTGTAGAGCTACTACAAGATGCTACGTGCATCTATATGGTGGACTGATGGAGCTGATCAATGGACAATGAGTGTAGAAACAAGAAGGTTGTTTTAATATTATGGATGATTGGTGTCAACAGATAAATGGACAGGGACATTATATGTGCAAAAGTCTGTAGACGCCTGCTCATCAAACATTTCTTCTGAAATCAAGGGTATTAATAGTAAGTTTGTCCCTTCCTTTAATGCAGTAACACACTCTACTATTCTGAGAAGATTTTACACTAGATGTTGGAACTTTGCTGTAAGGTTTTGTTTGTACTCAGCCTCAGGAGCATTAGTGAGGTCATATACTGATGTTAGATTTAGATCACAAAGGCACTCTAGTTCATCCCAAAAGCACTGCTCCACAACCCAATGTGGGGGAGGCTCTATGTCCCTCTAGCCGGTGCCTGCCATGACCTTAGGCTCACGTGCGGTTGCTCCAGAGCATCTCATTCTATTGCCAATTCTTTCTATGGAAGTTACACAAGCTGTGTGTGCACAACTGAATGCCTGTGTCAGCAACAGAGACAACTTACAGTAGCTGAATGATCTAATTAGGAGTGTGTCTGACATTTTGGACGTACTGTATAGTCATAAAAGATCTAGTACCATAAAAAAGTTTGAAAAATTGTCATAATAATAATAACTGTTATTTCATTCAATGGTAATTTAGAGTAGAGTTAAACATTACAAGGCAGGCACGAGAAGGTATTTTAACATGTTTTATTTATAAAATTAATATCTGAAGTTCTTTGGGAATATCAAGAAATTATTAAATGATAAATAATATACTGTAGGAAACAAGAAATAGCTTATCTATTTTAACTATTTTTATTTCAACTATTTTTCAAATAGAAGGCATTCTGGATGTTAATTTTATTATAACTTCATTCTCAATGTTATACAGCATTCTTGATTGTTCTGAAATCATCTACAACATAAAATGCCTTCATTTTTACAGCTACCTACAATTTACTTGAAACCTATAAAGCTGTTCAGTACTAGCATCATATTAGAATCATTTTTCACATACACACTGGTTTGATATAGAAAACATTGATTACACACTTTTGAATGGTGATTTCAAGCTTCTAAACAGTAGTGTAGACTGACACAGATAATGACAATAGGTATGTTCTGGAGGGATGAACATAAGATACTGCCCAGTGGTTCTCCATATTTCATACACATCAAAAGCACACCCACTTACACGTTCTTCTACATTGACAAAAACATACTATGACTATTTGGAAAAGGGGCCAAACACCCATTATTCGCAGACCTTGGGCTTCTGCAGTCTCCAGAAACCTCCACTGGGCCTGTTTTCAACCTCAGCCCTTCTGACCATGGAATCCACTTCCTGTGATCTCAGCCCCACTTCCTGCCCCTCTTCCCTGCTGGATTGAGCTGAGGCTCCTCGGGATGTTTTGACAGGAAGTGAAGGAAAGCCTGTGCTCTGCTGATAGCTTAGCCTTTTCCTCCACCACCACACACACACACACAGCTCACACACACACATATACACACACACGCACTGACAGCAAGACAGAAATAAAAGTGGCTGCCACCCACCCACATACACCCCTGATCAATCCTAAATGCATACAGAGTGACAGGATTAAAAATATCTCTTCTGGCTGAAGGGGCAGCACATGAGTACTCCGGCACATTCATGAAAACTCCCAGATAGAGTATATGTACAACAGCACACTTAGCTGTCAGCTTCTACTGCCAAATGATGCAAAAGTCCACCTATAAGTATGCATATTCTCTCACTGTCAACTTGCACGTATTGCAGGTAAACATTCAGCGTCCTTACACGTTTACTTATGAAGTGTTACCAAGCTAACTCCAAAAATGCTATCAGACTTAGAGGAAGTCACAACTGCCGCCACACTCACTCTGTTACATAAGAACTGCCTTGAAGTCTGTGAAAGCCTCCAGAGGAGGGGAAAAGGTAAGTAGGCAAAGAGCTCTCTCCTCTCTAAAGCGGGAGACTGCACCTGCCAGCACAGATGCTTTCACCAGTTAAAAAAGGTGCTTTTGGACTCTGAGAGTACTCACAAGCCATGAAGCTAATTGCAATCCTTCTGCCTTCATTTCAACGGTGACTATCAAGGCCTATTGGAAAGTAACAAAAACCTCCACGTAATGCAACCTTTTCAGGCCAAAACTGTTACTTTACTTTGCATGATTAGCATGATGGGTTTCATCAGAGATTGTCTTACATAAACATCCAGTTATAATATATGCAACCTGTTTAATTCTTTACCGTGAGTTTAATTCATCACTCTCATAATTACACAGCGTACAAATAGTTTCATGGTAGTTACTGACATGACATGAATATTATGTCTTAATAGTAATAACTGAATAATAAGCCTTAAAGGTTAAGCGTTGCCTGTGGGGACAGTCACAATGAAATATGAACACTCAAAAAAGGCAACTGGCGTTTTACACAGACTGACCTAAAATATTCAAGTTACCACAAGTACCGTGCGTTCTCACAAACACACACTTACACGCCTACACGGAGACACACATACACACACACACACACGCCCTCTCCCAACCCCCTATTTTCGCCCTTCTACTCACACTCCGAAGCTGTGCTCCTTTAATTTGTGTCCCCTTTAGCACGCCCATGTAGAGTGGTTGCGCTGTGGCAGGGCTGTGAGCGCGCGTGGGCGTGCGCGTCTCACCTCATCGCGCGGAGAACCTCCATCACTCGCGGTGCGTGTGAATTCACATGCTAGCGAAGTGCTGTCACTGCATCCCAATACCGCCGCACCTCTCCAAGTGCTCGCTCATCGCTATGGCAACCGGGAGAAAAATGGTTCGCTGGGAAACTTTACTTGCTTTTTCTTTTTTTCCTCTCTCTTTTAAAGGGCCAGGGCGGCGATGTGGAGCAAGCGCGCGCCACAGAGAGACAGAAGACTGGATGAACGCATGGAGGAGAAGAGATGTTTGAAGTGGGGGTGGAGAGAAGATGGGGAGATGAAGGGAGATGAGAGAGAGAGAGAGAGATAGAGAGAGAGAGAGAGAGAGAGAGAGAGAGAGAGATTGGGAGAAAGGGAAAGAGAAAGAGAGTGTGTGTGTGTGAGAGAGAGAGAGAGAGAGGGAAAGAGGGGCAAGACGGAGGGATAGAGAGAGAGAAGAAGAGAAAAGGGGAGAGAGTGAAAGAGAGACAGAAACAGAGAAAGGGATAGTGCGAGAGGGAGAGAAATAGAGAGAAGGAGTGAAAGAGAGATAGAGAAAGAAAAAGGGGAGAGGGAGAGCGAGAGAGAGAGAGAGGGAGAAGGAAAGAAAAGAGGGGAGAGCAGTGGTTCAGTGTGTAGGCGTTGGGGCTGTGAGGATCGGCCTCAGTCACGACAGAAATCAGGAAGACACAAGGTAGCGACAGGTAATGAGTCTGAGGAGCGCAAGAGAGAGCGCATGTGTGATGTACCATGATAAATGCTGTAAACACACAGCACCAACATGTAAAATTCATTCATGCCGGCGGGGATATCTAACAAACCTTTAACAAGATTGGCGCTCTCACCACAAGAACTGAAAATCTATTTAGATGCCCCCCACACAGACACTCACACAGCGCCTGCTGGGTTAAAGTGTCTTATAATCTCTCAGATTGAATAATGTGGCTGTGTACACCCACTGTAAGTGTATGCGGTGAAAATGAGTCCTAAAGAGCATTATTATCATGTCCACACATTCATATACACACACAGACATATCACTCTTACTCACAGTCAAGTTAGAAAACCGAAAATCAGTTAAAGTGCAAGAAAAAAACTTACCCTATATAACCAGGACTCTCATTGCATATCATCTCGGCTTCCTCCCCGAGAATCCGTCTCTGCTCTGTGTGAGTATATGCGTGTGTGTTTCTGTGAGCGTGTGTATATGTGTGTGTATGTGTGTGAGCGTGTGTGTGTATATGCGAGTATGCGTATTTGTAAGTGCATGTGTGTATGAGAGAGAGGGGGGAACAGAGAGATAGGGAGGGAGAAAGGGAGAGAGAAAGATGGAGAGGGACAGGGAGAGAGAGAGAGAGATGGAGGGAGAAGGAGAGCAAGAGGGAGAGATAGAAGAGAGAGAGAGAGGGAGAGAGAGAGTGAGAGAGGGAGAGTGAGAGAGACACAGAGAGAAGGAGAAAGAGAAAGAGAGAGAGAGAGAGAGAGAGAGAGAGAGAGAGAGAGGGAGAGAGGGAGAGAGTGCGGAGGCAGAAAGACTGTTACTGTATGACAGGAATGCTCAGCTCAGCCCACACAGTGCAAGCATGATACACTGACTAGCTGTGTGTGTGAGTGAGTGAGTGTGTGTGCGCGCTTGTTCAGAGAGAGAGAGAGAGAGAGAGAGCAAGAGAGAGGGGGAGAGAAAAAGAGATGCAGGCCTTGCCCACGCAGTGGAGTGGGAGAGTGAGCCTGCCTCTCTCTCTCTCTCTCTCTCTCTCTCTGCCTCCTTCTCACTCTCTCAACAGCTATAATAAGAGAGAAAAGGAACTGGTCAGAACAAGAAGGGGAATGAATGAGAAAGAAGAGAGCAGAGAAGGAGAGATTGAGAGTGAGAGAGAGAGGGAAGCAGTGGTACTGATGTGACTGACTGGCTCAGTGACATAGAAACTTTGTCAGCAAAAATGTGTGGATCATCAAAAATAGGAAATCAAATGCTAATCATCGCCATGGCAACCCACTAAATGTAAACATCAGCAGTCTGCTGGTGTGTGGGCGTGCTTCTTTCAGTGTGTGTCTGATGTTCTGATCACAACAATACGATTCTCCCCGAAGGTCACAAGTATGACACACGCAATTATGTAATTCACACTCACGAGAACGTGCACACATGCACTTCAACATGTGCACAATCAGACAAGGACCAACACTAACCATACAAAACATCCAGACAAATACTCACACATATGTAATGTGCATATATGTATTAGACGAGCTGCAATGGTGTTACATCTTCAAGTGCTCCCTCTGTTTATTCCAAAAGCAAAATATGGGTCACAGAACCAGTCAGAGTTTCCTCAAAGCTTCCCAATTACGTTCTACACATCAATGAAACCACCAAATTTCACATGCCAATAAACAGCATATGTGAGATCACAGTGCCCAACATCAAATTAAAAGCCTTAGAGACATGCTAAGGGCAGCTGCATAAGGGGCCCCTCTCAGCTATGCACTTGTCCCTAGCACGGAGCTGCGTGAGAGGGCCCTTATAACTCATCCGAATGCATCCTAGTCTGAGCTGTGTTGTGTTTGGGGGCCACCTCCTGGATGAGATCTATAAGGTCGCTCTTTTCCAGGCATGCTCGGCACTCCTCTCCCCACGAAGCCAGCACTCTCTTCAGGTCCAGCACCCGCATCTTTGACAGAGCCTCTCGGCTCCAGTCCAGCACCTGTTGCTCTGGAACACACATCCACAGAATTGTATGAATATATAAATGTTTGTATGTATGTTTATTCACTACACAACAATGTTTTTTTAATTTCCTTAACTGTTAGAAACAATCAAGAATGAGAGAGAATGCAAACTCATAAATCAGAATTTTTAAGATTTCCCAATGTTATTTAAAAATGATTTGCCAAAATTATTCCAAAAATGGAACGCAACTGGTTAAGGTTACAAGAGTTGTTCTTGTAAGAATCTGTTCAATTTCTGTGAGCTTTTCCAGTTACACTTCAATGTTTATAAAACATCAAAAATAAATATGTAAACATGAGAAATAAATAAGTTTGCACTTTTTTCCACATTCTGTGAGACCAGGGAACGTGGCAGGAGAAAGTCGTACCATATCGTAAGTCACAGATCTGCTGGTCTCTCTGCTGGAGCCGCTGGCAAATCTTCCGCACCGGGACGTGGGCACTGAGGGGGCGACTCACCTCCCCGGTCACTTTGGCAGCTGCATCACTCGAGGCTCCAAGGTAATAACACTGTGATATGAGAAAGAGGGAGGTAAACAGAGAGGGGGGGGCGGAGAATTCGCCTTTAGGTAAGACACAAGAGAGTCTCAGTAAACGTGTTTGTACAATATGTACGTGCATGTGCCATACTAGCCGGTTCTCTTTCCCTGTAGCTTCAGCACAGGCTTTCATAAGTCCTTCCTCTACGAGTGCTGTGGACAGCTCCTTATGAGAGGCCACCAGGGACTGGTAGAGGCGTTCCAAAAACCCCACACACACTGCATGGGATACACACACACAGTTTAAAAATACAAGAAATTCACACTAGCAAGCAGCTAGCTGATTCTTACTTTGCATAACAATTTCAGAGAGTGTTTAAGAACCTAGATGGAATCATTACAAGTGTCAGGTTGGGTACTGATACTGTAATAATAATGCAACACACTGCACTATATACACGTTTACCTCCCATTAAGTACACTGGGAGTAAGTTGGAGCTGCTTTACAAATTGATGCAAGCTTACAATACACGTATAAGGCATGTTTAAGGGTTAAGAACAACCATCTCTCCACAAATTTGCAGTGCCTTTCACCTCCGTCCATTTTCAGTCTGGGTGGTGATGCAGCACAAGAACTTTAAGCAGGCAACTTTTAGCACATCTTACTGGGAATCGATGCTACTTAAAGACGATTTCTCATCTCAGAAACATTCAAGGAGGCGACGCAGCTTAACGAGGACACATTCTGGTTTAAAAAACTTCATGCACTTTAGAGTCTCTGACGAATTCATACTGTGCTGCTATTTTTACACGCAGAGATTCGTGCGCTGCGAGCTCGACAAGTCCACCTCACCTTCGCATTCCTCTGCATCGGTAACTGCGAAAACAACACATAAAAGTAACAGGACGGCGGCATTATTCGTTACAGACATGGCTGTTTAAGTTTATTCAGCACTGACGCACCGAGCACTCCGTGCGGACTCCAGCTCCCAGACCCCCACGACCACCTGCTCCAACCATCAGCAGTTTCTAAATTCGGCGCTGGTCATTCATTGGCTGTACAGCGGCGCCTTTTCTGCGATGTGATTTGTTGAAGACGCTCTCAATCTCCGGACAGCTGTTTCTTGGTGGGCTCTGGGTGCGTTTTCACTGCCACCAACAGGGACGCCGCTTTATGCTGAAAAGCGCTGGGGTGAGAGATGTAGGAAATATTGCCTGATTCGTATCACGTAACTTAACAGTAACAGTCCTGTTGACTTCTACTTTATTAAGCTTCATGTCCAATAGGCTCAAAGACACAGTGTTTTTGATCTATGAATAAAGAAGTCAACAGAGTCTGTTGGCTGTACAAACACAGTCATAGGTCAGAGCTCTACACTCATATCCAGATGAGCAGCAAGCAGCCACAGTCTAACTGTATTTAGGCGGGTTTTTTAAAAAGGTATTTAATTAATAAACTGCATTTCTTAATAATGCGGAATATACTTGAATAAGATGAACTCCTCCTCACGTCCAATCAGTTATCAAAACTTTGATTGACAAACATTTCACTCACTCCTGTTGTGAGGAGGACTTTGCCCCCTGCCCATCTGTATCGTTCTCAATAGCGAATAGCGAATAACGTGTCCAGTTCACTATTGATGTAACAGGCGTGTGTTTGGGGGCGAACACGGCACAGATTGTCCAGATCACATCACACGGCTTTACTGACTGCACACAGGTCTGCTACTGTTGGAAATACGATATGGCCAGTGATCTGCCCAGCAGAGCCTATAAAGGTAGCACGTTTGAAAAATTGTGTCTGAGGAATAGTTACGCTTGAAATGTTATTGCTATTCATTTGCCTTTCTGACTGCATGAGACCACGAGTCCTATCATAAACAACGCATTAAAAATTTATAAATATTATGATAACATTCATGAGTTTGTGTGAGCTCCTTAAGGTATGGAAATGAGATAAGACACGCACAAATCAAATAATTATTTCGTGAAAATGATTTAGTTTCTTTGCCATTTGTGACAGAGACTGTACACTTGAACGTGAAAAGCTTTTGTTGTTCTTATCGGTGATAAAATGAACT